TGGGACACCCTTTGCCTCCTTTTCCCAACCAGAGGTCATTGCGCCAGGAGAAAGAAACACATTAATGAGAGATTTAGCTATTTACACATGTGTGTATGTGTGTGTGTATGAATGATTAAGGTGTTTTGTAAGTTCATATTATGTATTTTGTAATTTATTTGTATATATAAATATATAGAGAGAGAAACTGAGTAGTTCATTCAAAGATAGTAATACACTAGAATCACCAAATATATACATACAGTCTTAAACAAAACACAAAAAACAAGATAACACATACTCTTTTGATTTGCTTAATTGATAATGATGCTATTTAAACCCTCACAGTGGTGAGATCCATAGCTATTTTTGCAGAAATTGTAGTAACTTCTATTAAAAGCTGCATTTTCTTTTAAGTTTATTTGAATTAGAAAACCTCAAACTACAATGTATTTCATGCACATGTTCCCAAGGGTATGTTACACAGGACCATACTGAGGCCATCTAATAAGCTTAAAGAATTAGGCCCTGGCTGGTGTAGCTCAGTGGATTGAGCACAGGCCTGCGAACCAGATAATCGCGGTTCAATTCCCAGTCAGGGCACATGCCTGGGTTGCAGACCAGTTCCCTGCAGGCCAGTTCCCAGCAGGGGACGCACGAAAGGCAACCATACATTGATGTTTCTCTCCCTCTCTCCTTCCCCTCCCATCTAAAGATAAATAAATAAAATATTAAAAAAAGAATTACTTTAATGCACTGGACAGTGTTGGCCTGGTTAAAAGAAAATATTTTTAAAAAGCACTTAGAAAAACAACTATTAAAGTCTATATTCAGATCATCTATATCATACTTCTGTAATTCAAAGCATTTTCCACAATATATCATTGAAGGACAAAAACAACAAACTACCATTAATTAAAGAGTTTTGGATCAAAACTTCTCAGAGCTATCAGTAAATATAGACCAACCCTACCCTCATAGCACTCCTAACAGATGTAACAGTGGATGCCTACAACATCATTTTAACTGTGCAAAGGTCTGTGGCATATAATCAGAGATGAAAGAGTGAGAACCTTGCATCTATCCAAGAAAGAAAAATCACCTGCTGTTTTTGTCAAGTCAAAGATGCAAGTTTTCTCCAGACATTAGACAATAAGGAAATCATTTAGTTTAGAAATAGTTTCTACCATTGAGTAAATTTTTTGTCTACCAAAATGAAAAGGTAAACTGCATATGAAATGTACATAGTACACTTAAGAAGTAGGCCCTCGGAAAATGCTCTCCTATTTTGTGATGCTTACAAACCTTTTGTTTTGTTTTGTTTTGTTTTTTTAAACATACCCCCTTTCACTTCATTAAAGTCTCACTTCCAATGCCAGGTTCCAGGTCTTGTACTTCACCCAAATCAATTTTCAGTTGAACTAGCAGCTGTGCTGGCACAACGCACACAGAGAACAATGCCACAGGTGCCAGGACATCTGAACAGAAGGGGCTGGCTCCACGTGCCCAGGGCCAAGAAACTCCACAGCTCATCATGGGGGAGAAAAAGGGAGCACACCTTACTTGGAAATTATACTTCTTTTATGAAAAATGAATAATAAAAGTGTTTTCAATAATCAGAAATAGTGAATCATTGAGGTCTTCTTGTCACAGAGTTTGTAGGTGAATTTTTTAAAGGATATTAGAGTTCAATTTCAAGCTAATGATCTCCATCCCCACAGGTACAATGGATTTGCCTCTATCCACCAAAGGTAAGTACAAGAAAGTGTTTGTTTTATCAAAAATCTAACCATATAGGGTATCATTGGAACCAGAGCTACTACTGTTCACTGAGTATTTATCATCTGACAATCCCTACAATGTGTCCTTTGTAAATATTATCTCATTTAACACAACATATGCAAAAAGAATAGATCCTATTGCATCACTTCACAGTGAGAAAACTGAAGCCTAGAAAGTTTATAAAACTGCCCATCCATTTTATTTTTTAATCTATTTATTTATTTGGCGGGGGAGAGAAAGAGAGGGAGAGAAACATCAGTGTGTGGTTGCCTCTTGCAAATCCCCCACTGGGGACCTGGCCCGAAACCCAGGCATGTGCCCTCACTGAGAATCAAACCAGCAACCCCTTGCTTTGCAGGCCAGCACTCAATTCACTTAGCCACACCAGCCTGGGCTGCCCATCAGTTTCAATTCCATGGTCTTAACCATTTGTTATCCCTAGTCCCCTGAGCTTTTCAACCAAGCTCAGGGGGCCCATGAAAGAGCTTTTCAATTCCACTCAGGGATGCAGAGTAGCCACTTCACCATTTGTATAAATCTATACTTTGCAGAGAATCAACTCATTCATTCACTGATTCATGCAATAACAAAAATATATTTTGTACCTTCTATCTGTCAATTTTGAATTTATTTTTCAGAAAGGAAGAGAATTATAAAATTCATGCTAAATCTCTAGTACCTGGTATATTAGGGATAATAAAGGTTTCTTGAATAAGCTTTCAAAATAGTAACTTTTAGGTGTCCTATTATGTTTTAAAAAATAATTTGTTTTACACAAAGAAAAACTCCCTGATTTTTTCATAGTCTACACTCCTTCAAAATTAAAAATTAAATGGACTTCTTTCTAAAAGACAAACGTTTCCAAGCACAGGGGAAAGATAGTGCCCTTGTCTCTTGTACAGAAGTCTTACTTAAAATTGCAGTTATCTTTGATTATTTTTTAAAATGTAGCAATACTACATTTTTATCTAATCTTACTAAAAGTCCATATAGATTTTACACATACATTATAACATTTAAATTCTGAAGAATATAATGATATAAAAAAGAAACCAACTCTACTCTTACAACTAGAGTAAAACTGTCAATAACAATCACTGTATGATTAAGGATTTTTGAGGTTAGAATTATAACAGCTAGAATCCACTTTTTGGTGTGTCAGAAGGCAGTTTTCAGAGGCTTTAAGGTTGAGGGAAATGTTGGTATCATGGCTTAGGTAATATCAATCTTCTCCATTTGGAAAATGGGCTAAGTACTGAAAATATACCATAGAAGAATAATAGAAATTTCTTGCAGGGCAAAAAGAGTTCAGATACAAAGCTTAATGTAATGAAACTTAACTGTAAGGGAAAACTGGGAATGAAAATTCAAATCATCCTATATTCAATCTGCATCAGCCCATAAACAATTTTAAGGTAAGGGTAGGACCTTGGATGGATCCTTCTTCATCAAAGCCTAAAAACAAGTAATGCTAGAATATACTTAATAATTTTTTTGAAATAACATTCTTTAATAACTTATCCCTGATGAAACACGGGTGCTTGACAACAAAAAGTGCTGGTGGAAGAACTCTCAGGAAATACCTCTAGAGAAACCTGCCTTCAACTGGAATTAAATGTCAGGCACTTCCACCGCCGCCGCCACCAAGACTGAGATGGCCGCAAGACTCGCCGCCTTCCTCGAAAATGTCTGGGCCAAGGAGCCAGTGCTGGCCTCATCCTTCACCATCCGGGGCCTCGCCCCTACACCAAGAATGCCACTATTCTCAACCAGGTCGCCCCCTGCAACTACCCAGTGCCTGTCCAAGAGGATTCCTGACGTGCCCATGGCTGAAGAAACGGAACACCTTCACTGACTGGAAAAACATCCCCTCCCCTACAGCCCCCAATAAAAATGTGAAAACCAAAATAAAATTGAATTAAATATAAAGTCCTACACATGTTTGTATCGCTTTCAAGCAGAAAAATAATAAAAACCAGCCACCCCCCTATAATTGCTTAAAACCAAAGATTTGCCTCATTCAAAGTTAAGAAGAAACCTGGCCATCTGGTATACTACATTCATAATGTAGACTGCTACTTCACCACAAAGAATCACAAGGTATTATTAATTAACTTGCCAATTTGGTGGAGACCATTTCCTATAAACTCAGTGATATCAAATAGGCTCCCTCATTTCAAATGCTTATCTGTCGTTGGTTTATCTTAGACAAAGCTTTGCCATCCTCACAGTTGTGGCAGAAAAATAGCACAAAGCAGAATTACTGAATTCATTCACAGTTTTTCTCCAGTAAATATTGTAAATATTCAATTAAATATACTCAATTTCTTTCAAACAGATATTCATGTAAGGTAAGGGTATCAAAGACAGAGTTCAGTTTTCAACAAAGTTCTCCTCCCTTAAAAAAGTATATCCCATTTTCAACAATTCATTTCAAAGAAAAATCTGCCACTACATAAATTAAAATAATTTTTTAAAACCCTGTAATTTTGAATGTTGAAGACTGACAAGAAGTGTGAATTATCATAGCAAAACTTTCACAGAACAATAGAGTTCCTTAATCCCTTTTAATATCAATGTGAAACTCCAAAATGATAACTTGCAGTGATATTGATTAAAGTAATAAAATCAAGATTTACTTTGACAGCATTTAAAATAATCACTTGAACAATATTATAGAAGAAATTTTTTTAGTTTACCCTGTTTACTGAGCCCCACAAAGGAGCCTATGTCAAGTAGGACATAAATCTCTACTCAAGTACAATTTATTGGTCATGAATAATACACATTCATCAAAGCATATAAAAGCCTCTCATTTGCAAAATTAACTATGTCTTGCTTTGTACATTTTAAGATAGCCATATTTTAAGACGTGGTCTGTAACTGTGAAAGTTCTCATATTTTTTTTTACAAAAAGTGATCTCCGATTGACCCCAACCTCTCAGTGGTCTATATTTCTATTTTTCAGGAAAAACTAATGTCCTGACCTTGGAAATTTTATGTTGTGGCTGATGAAGAAATATGTTAGACCTGATAAACATAAAAGTCTGATAGACATCCAGTTGTAAATTCTAATTCTTTTTATTTCAAACACAGCATTTACTATAGTAAAAAAAATCATGTTATATGACTGAAACACAAGACCAATAGCTAATTTACATTTATATGAATCAATCTGGATAGAAAAAAGAGGCAAATTTTTGTCTTAATCATTGTGTAATAAAAACAGAAAAACAAACCTGAGGCTCTGCCAATACTTTCTTCATATTGTTTATTGCACCATACAGTACCCTACTGCCTTCGAAGAGGTATAACCACTTGCTGGTCATTTCTTCTTCAAACCTAGAAACATACAGAAAAATTATGCATTTTTTATACTCTAAAGAATGTAATAAAATCTTTTTTTCTCATGTGACCCTCTTTTTAAGCAACCAATAATAAGTGTTTTTTAGCTTATTTGCTTCTAGTTTTGAGAGAATGTTGCCTATATAAAATGTCTTGAGTTGGAAGGGCTGGGTGGGTGGGCTGGGATGGAAGTAAAAGACAGAAAACTGTACTTGAACAACAATTAAAATAAAAAAAGAATGTTTTCACTTCATCATATCCCCCCCCCCAGTTTTTGTCCAAGTGTCTTTTATACTTGTTTTTGTAAATCCTTCCCCTTCTCCCCCGAAATTCCCTCCCCTCTCCCCTTTGGACACCATAATGAAAACTTTCAATGACAAAGCAGATGATTGGAGTATGCCATATTAGTGAATGGGGGTATTGGAATACTTTTAAATTTGTGTATATGAAAAAAAATTTTTTCCTGCTGGTGTGGTTCAGTGGATTGAGTGCAGGCCTGTGAAGCAAGGGGTTGCTGGTTTGATTCTCAGTCAGGGCACATGCCAGGGTTGTGGGCCAGGTCCCCAGTAGGGGTTGTGCAAGAGGCAACCACACATTAATGTTTCTCTCCCTTTTTCCCTCCCTTCCCCTCTAAAAATCAATAAATAAATCTTTTTTTTCAATAAATAAATCTTTAAAAAATTTTAAAAAATGTCTTGAGTTGTACTGCACTGGTAAAAATAGCCACCTATGTCCAATAGTTGAAAATCCACCATTAGAAATGTAATTCCTCCTATTTCTGTTCTAATGTACTTTTGATAGACATTCCCCTAGAGAAGAGAGATTATGTGGAAAATTGTATTAATTGAGTTCCAATGTGTCATTGTGCTCCTTATAAAAAAAATAATAATATCACTGCAATTTTGAGCATGATATTATTGCACGTACTTTTTAGGTCTTGGGTATAATAGATCAGGTTAAAGGCACTGATATACTATTTTACTCCTCAAAACTAAAAATGAACTAATGTGGTTGTTTTATAAGAAAGGTACATCAGAATTAACAGAACCCTAGCCAGGGTGGCTCAGTTGGTTGAAGTGTTGTCCCATACATCAAATGGTTGGGGATCAGAGCACATGCCTAGGTTGTAAGTTCAATCCCCAGGCAGGCCTCATATGGGAGGCAGCCAATCAATGATTCTATCTCACATTGATATTTCTCCCTCACTCTCTCCCTTCCACTCTCTCTAAAACCAATAAACATAAAAAAGAATAGCCAAAACCATTACCTAAAAACAACCTTAGCTACTTATTTATCCATACTGTGACTTACTCATCAAAACAAATGTAGACATGTAAAGACTGATAGCTCAGTTTAGCCAGCAGCACTCAAATTCATTCAAATCTTTTACCTCTATTTTGTTTTTACTCTAATTTAAACTGGACTTTACAGACAAAAAAAAACTTATTTTATTTCCTTTATTTTCTCTATAAGGAAAGAGAGGGAACCTAATTCTTTAATGAGATTTACTCTTTTATATTTTTCCTCTGTTAAGACAGAACAAAATCCTGGATCCTCAAAGATATTCATAGTTTGTATTTTATAAAGAATTTTACAATTGCTCTTTGTTAAAATAGCAACTTATTTTTAAATTACCAATCTAGGTGAAAAGAGTTTTTCAGGAGCATTAGTTAATGTAGATTAGCGGCAGCAAGTGAGTTACTTCACTAATATGAGAAGCCTAGTGCAAATATAGCAGAAATATTTAGTATTTATGGACTGCTATTCAGCTTTTATACATAGCTAGAATTAATTTCAGACCTGCAGACTTCATGGAAAATTATATTAGAGAAATGGGCCTTTTCCACTATTGGAAAAAGTGTGAAAACCCTATATTCTCAATACTCTGAGAGCACTTCTCTGATTGCCATCTAGCAGATACAAAGGAAAAAAGAAAGCTTGAACTAATTTATTCTCCAAAAGACAGACTACTGTATGAACAAAAATGTTCATACATATTTTATAGAAAATAATTTATACCATTATTTTATGTAATTTTATATTAAAACTTCATATAAATAAGGATCTGATAAAAATTTTAATGAAGGTAATATCATACTTTATTAGGAATGTAATTAATCTAATTCATACATCTATTTATTCTACAACCATCTAGAAATTGCCTATTATACACCAGGCACTGATTATTGTCTTTAAATATAGTGTCTCCCCATTTTTCTACATCATGACAAATAAAAATTTTTCATTATGCATTTTAGACTGTAGTATTATAATAATTATGCCTACTTAGTGTACAATAAAATACTCCATTTCTAAATATTGAAAAAGATTTCTCCATGGTAACACCACAATGCAAAATTAAATTTTTTGCATTAATCAATTCTTTATGTCCATATGTTTCTTTTAATTATTGTTATGGTCATCCCCTGTCCAAGACTTCTTAAGATATATATAAATATATACTACCAGAATGATATATGTTGAAAGAATAGAAGAGACACTTAGGATATGGAAGCTTTTTAATCAAAGTGTCAATCATTTAAGTTTTCATAAAAAGATTGTTATAATGGTTAGTCTGCCAAATTTTCCAAACAAGTCAATTTATCACCATTCAATTTACCCAAGTGACCTGAAAAATCTACATAGAAAATGTATGTCAATAACCAAAAACACCCATAGCTTCAGATTTGCCAACAAAAAACTCAGGGGAATACTTATAGTTTTAGTATTTATATAAGATTTTCACCACCGAGCAAAAGAGAGGAATTTATTTTATGTCATGGGAAACAATGGATGCACTTTGGAATTGACACTGGGGAGAGAGGCAGCATCTGGAGACACAGTTGTGACCACTGTTTTTGTATGTGTGGGAGTGTGGGGGTGGAATTATTAAAAAATGCCTTAAACTCAGTCAGAAAGTGACTATCTCTTCATTCTACTGATCCCAGCAGATATATCTATCATCTTCTTCTAAAAATCTGCCTCTTGATCTAAATCTAATATGGAATCCTTTCCTTTATCTATGCAAAAAAAAGGTGTTTGTGAATGTTTTGTTAGCCACAAAAATTCTGCTAAATAATGTAAGCAGCTTATCCAAATCACTCAGGTCAATGCAACCTTGAAAGGAAGACAGGGAGGGTGTCCATAGATCTAGTTTAGTGAGCCTCAAAGCTAAAGCCTCCTATAGAAAAAGCCATAAAACAATTCAGATGTAATGGAGAACTTAATCAACCTCTCTATTTAATTCTTGATTTTTTTAATTCACTTGATGCTGGGTTGGGTATTGTCAATAAGATAGCATCATTTAGGTATATGAAATACTCCTACATAAAGATGGACTTCAGTTTAAGTTTCTTAACATCAAAATTTAATTTAAGGACAAAATGTCTGTGAGGATCCTGGAAGGAATCATCTGTCCAACACTTACAGCCTCCCTCCCATCATGCTCTGGGAATTATGGATATTCAAGGATAACAAACTGAGGAATCTGGGTTTTAATCCAATAGTTTATTAGAAGAATAAAACTTCTTCAGAGGAAAGGGTTTACAGGAACAAGGATAAAGGACACGAACAAAAACTAGGGAGGGGTGGAAATGGGAGGGAGGTAGGGAGGACTGGGGGGTGGGCTTGGATGGCAGTAAGACAGAAAACTGAATTGAACAACAATTAAAATAAAATTAAAAACAAAAAACAAAAACTTCTTCAGAGAACTTCAAATGCAGAGAAATTATATTATTGAGAGGATCCAAGATGGCAGATGAATAAGTGGAAGAAGCTACACTAACTTCCTCAAGGACCAATCTGGAATTACAACTAAATTGTAGAGAAATCATCCTAATAATCAACTGAACACTAGTTGGAGAGAAAGCCTTATAACCAAGAACAGACATAAGAAAACACTTCACCACAATGTGACTTATAAGAAGTGCAGGGTAGAGACAAGAAAGGGCTGGCTGAGCTCCCAAATGTGGCAGCTGAAGTCCTAAAGGGATATTTCAGCAGTCAGGAGGGGGTTCCCCTGAGAAGTGTGGGGTCTAAACCCCAAGCTGTTCTCCCAGCCTACAGCACCAGAGCCAGAAAGGAATCAGATAACATCCAGCTGTGAAAAACATCAGGGATTCTATTGGCCAGGGAGAGATGGGTGGAGACACATAGAGCTTCTCAAAGGGACAAATCACAAAATTTCATGTGCAACCACTTACCCTGGGTGCTGGCAAAGGGAGGACAAGGTGAACTAAAGACACTTGAGGACAGTCTATGGCCGGGGGCTGTGGGGAGAGAACTGAGAGGACAGTTTCCAGGATCTATGTGCCAAGTCATGCCCCATTACTGAAGGAGCCATCTGTCTAAGGCAGAGCATGCCTCTCTAAATGATACTGGCCAGAGGAGAATAGACCCTCCCACAAGAATTACTCTGACTTGCCCTGTAGTACTTAAGCCACTGCTGATTACGGATTGATTAGATTAACAAACTGATCTGTTTAATGGTTGATTGGTTTGACATCTCAGGTGGTAAATTGAAGTAAACAAGTTATCAGATAGTTTAGAGTAAAGATTATAAAGATTCTGGACAGCATGAAAAAAGACATAGAAAACATAAAAAAGGATCGGTCAGAAATAAAGAATGCAATATCTGAGATAAATAATACACTGAAGGAATAAATAGTAGGTTATATGAAGCAGAAGCCTGAATCACTGTTTTGGAAGATGAGGTGGAAAAAAAAAAAAAACAATCAGGCAGAGCAGAAAAAAAAAAGATTTAAAAAAAAAAAATAAGGAGCCCTGGCTGGTTTGGCTCAGTGGATTGAGTGTCAGCCTGCAAACCAAAGAGTCACTGGTTGATTCCCGGTCAAGACACATGCCTGGGTTGTGAGCCAGGTCCCCAGAATGGGGCACAGAAGAGACAACTACACATTGATGTATCTCTCCCTCTCTTTCTCCCTCCCGTCCCCCCTCTCTAAATCTTAACAAGAAATGAAGAGCTTAAGAAACATTTT